AGGCATGTACCTTGGTTTTGGACACATTCCTGGGGATGGGGGAGTAATGGGGTGTGTAGGAAGCAGTTGGTCGATGTTTCTCCTCGATGTTTCTCTCTATCCCTCTCCCTTCCTCTCTGTGAAAAATCAATAAAATACTTTTTTTTTTAAGAATTATAACCTACACTGATTGCCTTCTTGTGGGAAGAAACTCCTGGGCAGGAAAGGGGAAAAGATAAAACCCATCTACAGCATCATGGCGGACACCCACACGGGCTTTTCTTTAAAAGCTCGGAAAGCTGAGGGTGCCATCCCGTAACCTAAATCAGTCAGAACAAAGAATCTGAAAAAAAGATGAAAAATGAGCTCTGGCCTAAAGGGAATTGCTTCTCAGATGAGTAAGAAAGGGAGCTAGTGAGGGCGGACTGAAATCGGCATACCACAGACTCACCTTTGGCAGATTTAGAGCTTTCTGCGCGGAGCCTTTACAAGACCGTGCATGCAGGCTGGCTCCCCAGGCCAAGCGCAGCGGAGGCACAAAACAAAGAACAGAGTGTGTTTCCCTGAACCACTGTCTGCACCGCATCTGCGACATGGGGACCTTCTGGCCACACACGCAGCGTCGAAGGGAGACGTGATAACTAAACACAGGGGTGATTCTGGGCCCGGATCCTTTTGCCATAAAGGGCGTCATTGGGACAATTGTATGATATCTGAGAATTACAGGATAGAGCATGTAATTGTTAATTTCCTGATTTTGAAGGCTGCCTAGTACAATGTACTAGAATATCATTTTTTTGCAGGGAATACAAAGTACTTGGTGGTAATGGGGCATCCTATGGGCCATGGACCCTCAAAAAAGACTACTATAGCTGAGACTGGTTTGGCTCAATGGATAGAGCGTCGGCTTGGGGACTGAAGGGACCCGGGTTCGATTCCAGTCAAGGGCACGTACCTTGGTTGCGGACATATCCCCAGTGGGGGGTGTGCAAGAGGCAGCTGATCGATGATTCTCTCTCATCGATGTTTCTAGTTTTCTATCTCTCTCCCTTCCTCTCTGTACAAAATCAATAATATATATATATGTACATATATATATATAAAGACTACTATAGTACAAAGGGTTCTTGTACTATAATTGCTTTTATGTACATATTGTTTCAAAATAAAAAGAAATGTTAAAATTTAAAAAGTAAAAGAACCTCCTTTGTCAAATGAACAAACAGAAAGAAAAAAAAAAGGTTTCTTACTAGTAATGTGTGTGTGCAGGGGCAGGGATGGGGAGGCAGGCTCCTTTAAGTCCTTCCCATACCCTGAACATTCTGCTTTTACTTAAATCCTGCTTTCAGCAGTGCCTGGAGGGAGAAAAGCGTGTAAATGCTGCCACCTAGTGGTTCTAGAGCAAATACAGGGTATGGCAAAAATAGGTTTCGTCTTGAGTAGGCAAGTTTCTCATATCATTCATCATTGTATTATTTTCCATAACTGTAAACCTGCTCTCCCCACCCTGTTTGTTTACGGTAACGGAGACTCTGGATGCGGGAGAATAGAGCTCTTTATGGGGTTCACTTTTGCATGAAGGCCGTTGGAGAAAAGGGGGGACAGGTGGCGGAGCTGGAGGCTGCTCTAGGACAGGGGAATGCTCTCGGTGCTGAGGAAGTGAGCTGCGGAGCCGTGCAGAGGCACGAGGGGCCGCCAATGCATGCTGCTGCACGAGAGAAGCTAGTGACAGACGGTACCATCCCAACCACAGGGCATTCGGGAAGAAGACAAACCGTGGAGACAATAAAAGGACTGGTTTCCGGGTGAACAGGTGGAGCAGAGGGTCGTTAGAACGAAGACCGATCTGTCTGGCACTTTCACGGCGGATGCACGTCACTGCCTGCTTGTCCCCCTCAAGCAGCCCTGCAGACGGGGCAGGACACTCCAGCTTCTGGGCGGGTCCCGCTCCGTCACTACGGGGCTCTGTTCATGGCCCTCGGCCCTGGAGGCACAGTAGGGTCACCTGGGAATCTTTTAAATGATACCCATGCTGCTCTGGGTGGTTTTGCTCAATGGTTAGAGCATCGGCCTGCATGTATCCACCATAATGTTAGTTAATACACAGATAAATCCCTAGATGCTAGAGCTGGCATCTAAGGTCCTCTGTCCAAACCCATTCTTCTGCATGGGCGGAATGAGGCCCACATCGGGCTGACTACCACACAGGAGTGGGGAAAGGCACCAGGACCCAGCCTCCCAGGACCTAATGCCTTGCTCTCTGTGCCATGTGCCAAGTCAAGCAGCAGGAGAGGAGCGAGCGAGGGCCCTTGCAGCCCCAGAAGCCAGCCCTCACACAGACCTGGGTTCGGTGTTCATGAGCCTTGGGGGCACCATTATTTACATTATAGTGACTCTACTAAATTATGTGACTTAATAAAAACATGTGAATTTTGTGAGCAATACCAAAGACACACTAACGAACAAGAACCTTCTGGCGGAGCTGCCTGGAGCTCACATTTCAGGGAGAAGCGGACGTGGAATTACCACTAAGTTGTGCATCACAATAGGAAAGTACATGTTTTACTAGTGAACAATGAAGTGAAAGCTGTCCAGGACCTTATAGGGTTTTTAATACGGGCTCATCAAAAAGACAATGTCTAGCAGGAAGCAGGAGCTCCAGAGCATTCGTTCTTTACGTCGAACTGAGACATCACGTTTCTCAGAACGTGTGCCCAAGGCACCTGAGAGCAGTGCTTAAGCCCACGTGCCACAGCACACGGCGTGGCCGCACGAGACCTTCCTTGCCTTCCCAAAGCATCACCTGGCGGCCAGGGAAGTGGGCCTGAGGGAAGCTCAGCTCACCAACACCAGCGGGCCTCAGCATCCCTTCTTACATAGGGCCAGAACGTTTGCTAAAATGCATCTTGTGATAATTCTACTTTTTTTCCGGAGTGTAGGCAATATTCCATGTACGGTTCATGTTCCAAGGTGTTAACTTTATAACTTATACCGCGGTGGGCAAACTGTGGCTCTCAAGCCACATGCGGCTCTTTGGCCCCTTGAGTGTGGCTCTTCCACAAAATACCACGGCCTGGGCGAGTCTATTTTGAAGAAATGGCATTAGAAGAAGTTTAAGTTTAAAACTTTGGCTCTCAAGAGAAATTTCAATCGTTGTACTGTTGATATTTGGCTCTGCTAATGAGTTTGCCAACCACTGACTTAGTAGATAAAATACTGTGCTATTACATTCCCAGATAATGTTACTGCAGATAGGAGATCGAGTTCATATACCTTCTGGGTTCTAAGGGTAAATTTAACCTACTTACCATGTAGCATTCCTTTCCCACAGTTCGAGGAAAGCACTGGAGGACTAATGTTTGACACACACGTGGAACACACCTCTTTTGATAGCTGACAGACTTTTACTAAAACCTAAAAACTTCACACTTACAACAGGAAAATAAATGTTTCACTAATGAAGAATTAAGTGAAAACCACCAGGATCTTACAGGGTTCTTAACATATACTATATACATATATAGAAGACAGAACATCAGCTTGCTGGGTCATAGGGTATGACTGAAAATGAGACAGTATTTATAAGTCACCTAACAGCTTTCCCAAGTGGTAGTTCCCCTGAAATTAAAACAGAAAACGAAGTTTGAATTTATACCTAGCTTTAGACATGACTCAGCACGCACATCCATCTTACTTTTATGATTGTGCTGTTCCTTTTTAAAGGTGCTCAACATCGCCCAGCTGGAGCGGCTCAGGAGTTGAGCACTGACTCCCAGTCAGGGCACAGGCCCGGGTTGTGAGTTCGATCCCCAGCATGGGACGTGCAGGAGGCAGCCGATCGATGATTCTCTCTCATCATTGATGTATGTCTCTCCTCCTACCTTCCTCTCTGAAATCAATGAAAACATCTTATAAAAATAACAGGGCTGAAGAGCATCCAGCTCATTTTCCACTCGGAGGATGGAAATCTTTACTCAGTAAATTATCTTGGTCTCATAGCACCTCCACCAGGGCGGAGAAGGCGAATCTCAGTATGTGTGCTTAACATAGGACGCCGAAACATAGGATGGACCACGATGTTGAGCTACGTGCCATTCCGAAACAGCTCCTTGTGCCACACCGAACAGAACACGATCTGATAGGCTGTGTTGCTGTAGGACGTGCAGTTTTCCCTTCATTAAAAACACACAAAAATATGAAGCTTCTACAGTGACTGTACGTTACCCAAAAGGAAGGAAAAAACATCAAAACGGACGCAATGACTCAGACAGTCTTGGAGCACTCATGTTCCCGCAGGAGGCACGCCACTGAGCGCCACTTGCCCTCTTCTGGGAAGACAGTCCTGGCCCCATCTACCCTTTGGGCACTCAGACAACACACACTTCTGTGTCTGAGGACAAAACTTCGCACACGGCTTTTATTTGCCCCTATAGAAAAACTCAGATGCAAAGCTAGTTCCTTCTCACAACAAAGCAATGCTCAATTACCAATCACATCATTTCTTTATTGACAACATGGTGTTAACTCTGTGCAACTTGTGATCAAAAACAATTAAAGACCGTTGGCGATATCTACCAGACGTAACATTAGACACAGGATTACTTACAAAACAAGCAATTGCCAATAGAAAACTAAATATTTCCCTTGGGAAAAAATGTAATATTTTATTATTAAACAACTCAGGCCAAGAGGCTAGGTTTTCTCTAAGTGCAGAACAGAGCAGAAAGGCTTCCACTGGGGCCCCAGCAGGAGAGGGGTGTGATTCTTTGGACGGCTTTATGATGACACTGATAACCTCCGGGGATTTTAGCTCTCTGAAGAAAATGTTCATTCAAAAAGCTAAAGCATACAAAGCAGTTAATATCTTCAAATGGATGCCCAATAACAAAACTTTTAACAGGAGTGAGTCCTAGCTCTAAACTGTGTTTATCAAATACTTGAATGAGCTACATTCAGAAACGACAGAGCAGCTGACAGGTGCAGCGGGTGCTCTGCGCTGCCACAAAAGCAGCCACAGAGGTTTACTTTTTGCACGCCTTGTATCTCTCCGCTACATTCTCCCAGTTGATGATATTCCAAATAGCTTTCAGGTAGTCAGGCCTGACGTTTTTATACTGGAGGTAATATGCATGCTCCCACACGTCAATCCCCAGCAGTGGAATAAGACCTGTTGGAAAGAAGGAGAAAAAGCAAAAACTATCAATTTCCATTTAAACGCTGCATCTTCTCAACGTAACCTTGATCCTATGCATCCACAATTGTCCTTTACAACATTCTCATCCATTTTGCAGTTTCTTACATAAACAGGATATGTGATAAGAATAAATACCCCTATAAAGAGATTTTCAACTTTACTCTTTGGAAGAAAAATGTGATTAGTACTAAAAATAATTACTACCCTGTTTCCCCGAAAATAAGACAGTGTCTTATATTAATTTTTTCTCCCAAAGTTGCACTAGGTCTTATTTTCAGGGGATGTCTTATCTTTCCATGTGCAGGTCTTATTTTTGGAGGATGTCTTATTTTCGGGAAAACATGGTAGTATAATAGACCTGAAAAAAATAAATTAACTATAGTATTTTATTTTATTTTTTAAATACATTTTTATTGCTTTCAGAGAGAAAAGAAGAAAGTGATAGAAACATCCAAGATAAGAGAGAATCATGGATCAGCTGCCTCTTGCAAGTCCCCCACTGGAGACTGAGTCCACAACCCAGGCCTGTGCCCTTGACCAGAATCGAACCTGGGACCTTTCAGTTCACGGTCGTTGCTCTATCCACTGAGCCAAACCGGCTAGGTCTAACTACAGTATTTTAATAACTGTTCTTAAAATACCAACAGATTGATACAAGAGCCCCTTCTTATGCATCCGCCCCGGGGTCTCAGTAAGAGTATGTTGTTTGTGGGGGGACTGAGGACCCTCCAAAGGTCCTGAGCACTCAGGGAGGTGAGGAGAAGCCTGCCTGCTCCCCGGGGCGTTAGGCTGGAGAACACAAGTGTTGGAGATGCTCACAGAACAGTGAACAAGGAAAACTGCACAGGACTGCAGAGACACAGGATCCACTGGAAATGAGTCCTCTCCAGGCCGGTCCCTTCGGAGACAGCCTGACCCCCTAAGCGCGCCAGGCTCACAATCCCTGCTGCTTGTACAGTCTGCAGCATCTCCCTCTCCCAGAGGCGCGGCACAGGTTCTGGAAAATCTGAGTACGTCCACAGAAGCTTCGGGAAAAAAGGCAGCTCTGGCTCCTTTATGTCAGAGGTCACAGCCCCAGCTAACGGCCGGATGACGTGGGTTCTTTCTCCTAAAGAGCTTCTAGTTCAATCTGCTCACCATGAGCCAGGCCTGGGTGAGCCAGCCTGGCGCCTCCCAGCCAAATGCTGTCGTACACCAAACCCCCGGGGGCAGGGTCTGCAAATCGGCTCCTCCCCGCCTGACCCCAGTGGTCAGTAAAGAGGGGTCCAAGGTCTGACAGCAAACGTCTCTGCCTCGTTCTTGTTGTTTATCTAATTTTAATGCATATAATTATGTAAGCTGATATGAACTCACTATCAAATGAAGCAGTTTATGTTTAAGACTTCTTTTGTTAATTTATCATTAAATTACATGTGCTTTTTATACATATACTTGAGGCCCGGTATGGGGATCAGGCCGAAACCGGCTCTCCAACATCCCCCAAAGGATCCCAGATTGCAAGAGGGCGGTTCTTGGGTGACGCACCTGGAATCAGGCTCCCTTCTCTCAGATTCTGAGTGCATCACCTGAGAACCGTAGCTGCCAAGTCACTGCAGCTCAGCAGCTCCTGCGTTGAGCGTCTGCCCCCTGGTGGTCAGTGCACATCATAGCTACCAGTCAGATGGTCGCTTAGGCTTTTATATATAGAGATATTTTTATTGATTTCAGAGAGTGAGAAGACAGAAACACCAATGATGAGAATTATCGATCAGCTGTAACACGTCCCCTAATGGGGACAGAGCCCACAACTCAGGCATGGCCTGACATGGAGTCAAACCGTGACCTCCTGGTTCATAGGTCAACATTCATCCACTTAGCCACACCCAACCAGGCACATGTGCTTATTTTTTATAAGATTTAAGATTTCAAAATATCAACAACTTTTAAAGCACTTTTGCTTAGTAGACTCTGGGTATCACCTGTTAAGATTTGCTCAAATAAATCTAGAGACTTATGATGGCATGAACCTGCTAGTTTTCTGTATTCAAGTTCAATGCTTTACAGTGAGCCATCTCCCCTGAATGATGGTAACAACGTTCCAGTCTAACCTGTTGTTCCCTGAAGGGGATCCTGGTTAGCACAAGCAACAATCTGTAAGCGTCCTTGATCCTTTTGGAAACCGAGCCAGCCCCAACCTGAGCCTTGAACGCCAGCAGACACCGCGGTCAACTTCTCCTTAAACGCGGCAAAGGAACCAAAGTCACGTTTGATGGCTTCCAGCAATTCCCCTATTTTAAAAAAATCCAAAGGTAGGGGATAAGGACACATATGTAATAACGTAATCAATAAAGAAATTTTTAAAAATAAAATAAATCCAAAGGACACTCACAAATGAACAGGTAGCAATAACTATGATATTTTATTACATATATTAAAATATTCTTGTCGTGGCCCAAGATACAACTAGACCACCCCCCGTACAAGACACAACAAAGCCCAGTGGCCTCCACAACACGCATTACCCGGTCGGGGGCGACAACCCAGGTCCACAATCTTAAATCACACTTGTCATTGAAGCACTGCGGAGGGATTTCTCCCCTCACGGTGAGAAAGAACTGTCCCATCAGCCTTCTTTGTTCCACTCAGTAGAAAATTTTACTTTGACTTCTACCCTACCTATTCTGTCTTAATTTGGGACTAAAACGTTATGGTTGTTATATTTCTTCCCCAAGGCAGCCTAGATCTTTCCTATCTCAATTATATCATTTTAAAAAGAGTTATTTTCTCTCTTCTATTACTGAACTAAGGATACACTTGAAGAGCTACAGGCCTTTTATTCCGTGGCAATACAGAATATAATTCTAGACTGAGCACATCAACCAAATCAACTAGGCCAAAAATAGCACCTCCCTGTTCAAAGGAATCATCTGCCATAAGCACCAATTAGGACTAATGTGGCACGGATAACACTAAGTGGCAGGCAGTACCAAGACCTGTTGATTGAATAAAGGTGAATCTGATACTCTGGTAACTCACAGAAACTCAGCACTCTTAAATCATAGTCTGAAGACCTAAGTCACAAAAAATAAATTATAAAGCTTCTCATTCATTATTACTTCCTAATAAAATTGCTTATTTCAAGTGCCTAAGATGTCTTCTAGAACACAATTAAAACACACACACACAGAAATTTAGGGTACATTCCGGAAGCCCAGGAAAGGGAGGGAGCTGTGTTCACGACCACACCTCCCCAAAGCTCCGCACACACACTCAGCCTCAAGTGAGCCAGGGGCGTGGCCAGCCATCAGCTCTGACTCCTTCATTACCTAGGTGTTCTGGGACAACGGACTTGTTCTCACTCAGGAAGAACAGTAAAACAATAGCAAAAAGCACTATTCTAAGTCCTTTACATATAAAAACTCATTTAATTCTCAAACAGTCTTATTATTCCCCCTATCATATAGAGGAAGAAAGTAAGGTTCAGAACGGTTAAGTCTCTCACCTCAGATCCTAGAGCTAGTGAGTGAAAGCTTGTCTTTTCTAAAAACCATTTCTGAGTCTTTCCCTAATGTATAGCGCAGTACATTCCAACCACAAGTCAACACCATATGTGACACTGCATGTATGTATATACAGTCTGAGGACACAACTCCCTGAATGCACTCCCTTCTTACATAGGTCCTTTCAAAGTTACCACAACACGACTGCACCCCTTGCTGTGAAAAACATGCCATTATGATGCCTCAGAAAAATTAGGGGAGCATTAAAAAAAGTCATTCCTATCATGCACAAAATGCAGCTAAGCCAGCACCATACACACCAACCTTTGGGTTCTCCGCCACCATTAGGGCTCAGGTTTGTCCAGAAAATGGTATGGTTGATGTGGCCTCCACCGTTGAACTTGAGAGCAGGCTGAAGAGCTACCTGGGCTGTGACGTCACCTGAAATGTTAAAATGCAAATACATTTTTTAAATGCTTACTTTTCCTCCCATTCTATGTACTATTTTCCTCTTTGTAAAACGTCAGGTAATTGGATCAGCTTCTCTGGCATCTTATAGGTCCTAAAAGTCTACAACTTCCGGATTCTACCGAAAAAAACTTCCTGAACTCACCTGTCCCAGCGGATTCTCAGGTGGTCAGTAACATGCTGAGCTACCAGTGCGGCAGCAGGGCTGCAAAGCTAGAAAACCCACTCTGAGCTTCAAAGACTCAGTTTTCTTGGATAGAAAGATTTGGGCAAATGAAATAATGAAGAACAAAGATAGAGAATGGAATGCTAACATATCTGGTTCCGTGTACCAACTATGAAAATTTTCCACCTCGTTTCCTTAGCAGACAGGTAGTCACTGTGAAATCTCTAAATGTTCTGTTAACTAGAAGCACAACTTATTCAAAACCGAGCTGCTGGCTGTAACTGCAAGCTTACTCCCGCTGTGGCTTCCAGTCCGCATGCCAGCGGACTCCTCAGGACACCGACACGGGGTCCTCTTGGACTCCTCCCCTCCCCCATCTCGCCCACCAGCACATTCACCAGCAAGGCCTGCTCTCCTGCTCACACATGCGGACCAGCAGCATCCCCTGCACCAGCGCTCCTGCCCCCCTCAGCGCTCACCCCCTGCTTCCACCTCTGCCTGACCGTCCCTTCTCACTGCAGGGCCAGAGGCTCCTCTAGACCCCACCTCACTCTCGCACTCCTCTAGCCAAACCCCTCCCCAGGCTGCTCTGCTCAGAGCGAACCCCAGGTCCTTACCATCAGCTACAGAAATGCATGCCATGAGCCTCACTGGTTTGGCTCAGTGGATAGAGCGTCAGCCTGCGGACTGAAGGGTCCCAGGTTTGATTCCGGTCAAGGGCATGTGCCTTGGTTACGGGCACATCCCCAGTAGGGAGTGTGCAGGAGGCAGCTGATTGATGTTTCTCTCCCATAGATATTTCTAACTCTCTATCCCTCTCTCTTCCTCTCTGTAAAAAAATCAATAAAATATATTTTTAAAAAGAAAGAAAGAAAGAAAGAAAGAAAGAAAGAAAGAAAGAAAGAAAGAAAGAAAGAAAGAAGAGAAATGCACACCATGTGACCTCTGCAGCTCCTCCGGCCCAGCTCCAGCCACACGGGCCTCTGTGCTCACATGATAAGCTCAGTGTACTCCCAGCTGAGGCCTCCAGTTTCCTGCATGGGGACCCTCCTCCCCGAGGCAGCCCATGCTCCATGCCCTCCTCTCTCCCTCCTCCCCGAGGCAGCCCATGCTCCATGCCCTCTTCTCTCCTCCAAGTTCCTACCGACCAACAACTCCATCCGTGAGACCTTCTCCAACCACAGTCACCCTGGGCCACTCCCTACTTGTTTTCCTGCAGATTTACAACCCCTGCCGTCCACATACTTACTTGTCCATCTGTCTCCCCAAGAGAATGAAAGGACTTTCATGCACTGCCATATCCTAGAGCCTCATAGCAGGCGCTCAATCAATGCTTGTTGATTGACTAGATAACTGAATATACTGCATGTAGTTTCTAAGGTAAAAAATTATCTGGTATCTATTGCACTTTAAAAAAAATGGCAGGTGTGTCTGGTTGGAGGGTCGTCCCATACACCAAAGGGTCACGGTTTTTATGCCTGGTCAGGGCACATACCCAGGTTTCGGGTTCAATCCCCAGTTGGGGTACACATCAAAGGCAGTTTCTCTCTCTCTCCATCTCTGAAATAACCAAAAAGAAACATATCCTTTAAAAAAAAAAAAAAAAAGTCATGTTTGAAATTTTTTTTCTACCTTGCTTAATAAGTAGGCAAAATAAAGTATTTTTCTATGCCTTCCAAAGCCACAGATGAACTGGTCTCTCAGGAAAAATGGGAATTGCCTTACTAAGCAAACATGGATTCACAAGATACCGAGAGGCAAAATGAAGGACAGAGAAACCACTGAGAGCTGCTCAGCAATTACCTAACAGAAAAAGTTCTCTGCGTCCGTCCTTAGGGCACAGGCTAAGCACATACATAAGGAATACTGCTGTTCCCTTAAACAAGGCCAAATCTCCAGTTCTCAGCAATTCAGAGAGGAGGAGAAGACCACCTGATATCTAGATACCACCGTTGATCTTTGAGAGTTTTTTTAAAATGCCAACATTTTGCTGTTATGTTTGTAAAATTATTTTCTCACAGATCAGTGTCTCCCTTTATTAGTTTTTCTTGGAAAGTCACCCTAACAATAAATGTAAGTTATTAAATTATATTTTATTAAGTCAACAGTAACTACATATTTCTAATGGCAAAGAAACATATTAAAAATTTGTTTAATAGCCGAAACCGGTTTGGCTCAGTGGTAGAGCGTCGGTCTGTGGACTGAAAGGTCCCAGGTTCGATTCCAGTCAGGGGCATGTACGTTGGTTGCGGGCACATCCCCGGTGGGGGGTGTGCAAGAGGCAGCTGGTCAATGTTTCTCTCTCATCGACGTTTCTAGCTCTCTCTCTCCCTTCCTCTCGGTAAAATATCAATAAAATATATTTTTAAAAATTCGTTTAATAATTTCAGTCTCTTAAGTTTAGTTCATCATTTTAATAGAAATGGAGGGACTTCGTATCTGCTCTTAAGAACACTTTTCTGAAGTCCAACATTTTCTTCAGCTTTGCTTCAGCTTTTTTCCTTCTGTTAAACAGTAAAAATTAAATATGTTTCTTTGGAAAGTGTTACTTACATGTGATGAGACTGATAATGTAATCTTAGTTATACACCTTTAATCCCAAATTTCAAACATGAAAATTTAGATCTTTAACGATTTTTAAAATATAACTTTTTAAATAAAAGTCTGTGGCTACTTATTAATTTATGATCAGTATAGAATAGAATAGAATTTTCTCAGTGGCTTTCATTAAAAAGGGAAGAGTCAAGTGCACAAGAAAAGAAGTGAAAGGAAACTGTTTTTAAAATATTGAGGAGACAGGTTCAGGGGCGTCAAGATGTTGTCATGTAGGAACTAGTTTCACAACTGGGATATTCCCGGGCCTCACTGGTCCCACCTCCTTCCCGCATCTGTCATGTCCTAAATCACTCTTTTTCTCGTAGTCGGAACCTTGTGCCACACTTGAGGTTTCTCTGTCAGAAGTAAACATTCCAGGATGTGGCAACTTCCTCTGGGTTTTGCTTACCCATTTACCTGGCACACAATCAGGCTGAAATACCACATTTTCCCACCAGATGCCCCCAGCCAACAGCATGCCGCTGTCTAAGCCACCAGTTTCATCGCGCTGAAATTCAATAATAAAAACACGTCTAGTGAAGAAAAAACACACATTTTCTTAACGCGTGGCTCATACAGACAAATCTGTGGTCTGGAAACACGACTGTCAATTACCTCCTCTGCTTAAACTCACAGGTTGAAAAACGTAACCGCTTTTTGCACAGAAACACTAGAACTTTTCCCAGACACACCCCCAGACAGAGCCCAATGCTACCGGGTTTGACAGCCGGACTCCAGCTCCATGTTATATTCTAACGGAATCATAAATGTCAGTAAATAAACACACGGACGGGCGCTTTCCTTGTGAAGCTCGAGGACACGTGGGGTGACCAGTGAGCAGAGGGCACCTCCTCACGGAGATGGTCCTGTTTCCCAGGAGCCAGCTTCTCCGGGCCCGGGGCAGGCCGTCCGCACCCGCCGCCCGCGCCCGCACCCGCCGCCCGCACCCGCCCTTCACCCACACCTGCCGCCGCCCGCACCTGCCCGCCACCCGCACCCGCCGCCGCCCGCACCCACCCTTGGCCAGCGCCTCCTGGTACTTCTCCTCGGTGGCGTTGAGGTTGTTGACGTAGGCCGCGTGGTGCTTGCTGTGGTGCAGCTGCATGATCTGGCCGCTGACGTGCGGCTCCAGCGCGCCGTAGTCGTACGGCAGGTCGGGGAGCGTGTGCTTCCGGCGGCCGCCCAGGGCGCCCAGGGCGGGCACCAGCTCCCGGCTCGCGCTGCAGAGACACCCACACACCGGTCCCTCCACGCGCCTGTCCCTCCATCGTCCGCCGCCCGCCCGCCACCCCCCCCCCCACACCCGCCACCGGCCATGGAGCACCAGCCCGCGCAGCGGCCCCGCGCCTGGGCCGCCGGGACGCGCTCCACGCACGCCCGCCCCGCGCCCCCTGCGCCCGAAGGTGCCCTCCACCGCCGCGGCCCACGCCGCCCGCCGTCCGTGCCGCCCACCCCGGGCCGGTCCCCTGCGCCGCGGCCCGGCGCCTCACCTGCACGCCGCCCGGCACAACATGGTGACGCCGCCGAAGTCCTCGCCGCAAAGCGCTGACCGCTCGGGACGAACCGGTGAACCGTGACCCGGGCCGCGCCGCAAGGACACCGCCGCCGGCCAGGCCCCGCCCCCTGCGCCAGGCCCCGCCCCCTGCGCGCCGCTCCCATCCCGGGGGGGGGGTGCGCGGTCCCCGTACCCGCCCTGCCCGCACCCCGCTGGCGCCCCGGACCCCGGGAACGCGGGGAGGGAGGCCGTAGAGGTCCTTCCCAGTGGGCCGCGGGCCGGGGCGCCCTGCCGTGCTGCCGCCGTGCCGCCCCGGGGAAGGCCGCCCCGGTCCCCCCCTGCCAGATGGTGCGGTCCGCGCTCCGCCCGCGCCGGCGCCGCCCCGCGCGGTCCGGAGTGCGTCCCCGGCGTCGGGGCAGCCCGGGGTCGGGCGGCTTTACGGGAGGGAAGCTTCGCGTTTCCCCGCACGGCCTTGGCGCCGCCCCAGCGCGGCCGCGGGGAAGGCGGGTCCTGGGCGCCGGGAGCTGCAGGCCCGGCCCTCCCCCACCCCACGCTCACACTGCCCCAGGGGCCTTCCTTTCCGAAACCACTGACCTTGGGGCTCCCCCGGCCTGAGCCAGGCCAAGGGCGGCGGCTGACCCCCAGCATGGGCCGGGGACTGCGCTGCGGGGTTTGCAATCATTTACCTTTATTTCACGCGGATGGGACCGCGCTGAGTGTTTGCATGCCTTTACCTTTATTTCACCCCATAGGACTGCGCTGCAGGGTTTGCATACATTTACTTTTATTTCACCCGCATAGGCGTCCAGGGCTCCAGGCTACAGTTAAGAGTTCACTGAAGCTGAGCAGGTTTTTCTGGCCACACAGTTAATTAGTGAAAGAGGCAAGATGAGAACTCAAAGTTCATGCTCGCGTACCAAGTCCTATCCGTCAGGTCTTGAGTATTTATTAGGAGTGACTTCCTTGGACCCCTAACCGCTGGGAAAACATGAACCTGGGCAGGAGCCCGGGCGGCGGGGCTCAGGGGCTGAGCGTGGACCTATGAACCGGAAGGTACCGGTGCCATTCCTCCTCAGGGCCCATGCCTGGGTTGCAGACTTGATGTCCAACGTGGGGCGTGCAGGAGGCAGCCGCTCAATGATTCTCCCTCTCTATTCCTCTCTGAAATCAATAAATGCAAGCAGGGCCCTGACCGGTTTGGCTCAGTGGATAGAGCATCGGCCTGTGGACTCAAGGGTCCCAGGTTCGATTCCAGTCAAGGGCATGTACCTTGGTTGCAGGTACATGCCCAGTGGGGTGGGGTGCAAGAGGCAGCTGATCGATGTTTCTAATTCTATCCCTCTCCCTTCCTCTCTGTAAAAAGTCAATAAAATATATATTTTTTAAATGTGAGCAGGAGTTGGGTAGAGGGGATTAATGGAGGGGATGGGGGACATCTATAATACTTCAACAATAAAGATAAATTAACAAAACAAAAAGAAATACAGCAGAGGAGTCTTTCCTACAGTATCTAGTAGTCTAATTAGCTGTAGGTATCAAATGCTTTCTTAACAATTAAAAAAAAAATCCTGAGTTGTGTGACTATAAAAGTTGGGACAGCTTTACACTGTTTTGGGCTTGAGTGGGGCCCTTATTGAACAGAATAATATAAAAGAAGCAGATAAGTGCTGAATAAATAACTTCAGCATCTTTCTCCCCAGGATCTCACAGCTTTGGGTATTACCAAATTGATGCCACGTTCACAAGAAGTTCTCAGCAGACAAGCCACCATAAATATCGATAGTTAATATCAATACGATTGCTCATGTAGCTAGCTCCTGGGAAATCCACAGTTGTAAAGCTGTTTCTGGGGTTCATACTGTCGGGTTCAAAAATGGACTAGAAAGAAATATTATAGTCAAGCTTGAATAACCAACGCTAAGGTTTATAAACTGGATGGCCCAAGTTGTCCTCCTCCAGAATGTTACAGGTCCTATGGGTGTAGTACATGCCGTGAATTTCCTACAGACACTCCAGGGACCAAAGGCAACTTCACATTAGCCCGACATGCTTCTTTTGTCGATGTCCTGGCCACGATATATTTTTATTTTTATTTTTTAATATATTTTATTAATTTTTTACAGAGAGGAAGGGAGAGGGATAGAGAGTTAGAAACATCGATGAGAGAGAATCATTGACCAGCTGCCTCCTGCGCACTCCCTATTGGGTATGTGCCTGCAACCAAGGTATATGCCCTTGACCAAAATCGAACCTGGGACCCTTGAGTTCGCAGGCTGACACTCTATCCACTGAGCCAAACCAGTTAGAGAAAGATATATTTTTAATATATTTTTATTAATTTCAGAGAGGAAGATAGAGTTAGAGAGAATCATTGATCTGTCATCTCTGCACACCCCTTACTGGGTGCCCTGACCAGGTATCGAACTGTGACCTCCTGATTCATAGGTCACTGCTCAACCACTAAGCCACACTGGCCTGGCTTGGCCACGATATTTTGAATGCTGAACCGTGTGGCAGTGATGGAGGCAGCTCTTCTGTTGGTAGCTGGTCTGAGTCTTGTCCTCAGCCTCAGACTTCTGAGCGCCGGGCTGCTACAGAAATCATGAAACTAAAACGTATTTGGATTCTATAAAATAAAATTGATTTGGTAAAAGCCAGCCTGCCTAAAGGACAGTATGGACAGATCCTCGCATTTGTACAAGGTACCGCAGAAAGAGCTCCTGCTAGTCCAGTTTCTGCTCAGCTTGAAACACTTACTGTGATTAGCTCCTTTGAGGTAACACACGTGGCATACAGTTGACGGCCTTAAGACGGTGTAGCTGGTGGCGGTGCTCTGAGAGCAATATTAAGGTGGCCAGAGACAGACAGTGAAGGAACACTCTCGCGTAAACCAATGCTTTCCCAACTTGTGTCACTGTTTGCAGAACACGATGGTCTCCAGTCTGCTGCTCCAGGAGCTCGTATTAGCAACAAAAATCAGCCCCGCTTTGTGCTGGGCTGACCGATGGCAGGGCAGGTACAGGGTGCAGGCGGAGCTTCACCTGAGACCTTCACAGAATTGGAAAGCTGTTTCCTGTTTAGATGGCTTCTAGGCGTGAGCACAGAGGAGACAAGAAAGCAACAATGGCGCAAAGCTGTCTAAGAACAAAGTGCCCAGGATGAACTAGGACCCCTGCGAGTGGAGAAGTTACTGCAGTCCAGGCCGATTTGGGGCAAAATCGTTCAGACTTAATCCTGTGTCCTCAGAAGTAGGAGGAAAAAGTTGCCCTTTGCTGAAGAGATGAGAAACACTGGTGTTTAATTGGATGGGGTCAAATACCGTGTTTCCCCGAAAATAAGATATCCTCCGAAAACAAGACCTACTTACAGGTTTCCTTCTGAGTGAAATATAAGGCAACCCCAAAAAATAAGGCCCCCCCTAGGCTAAACATGAGAGATTTGGTCCACTGATTCTGAAAGAAATGGAGTCACAAGAAATTCACCAGGAAATTCAGGAATTGGATTGTTATGCTGATGTTCCAGAAGATGATGACATGATTGTCATTGAATAAATGAGTAAATTATTGATACTGTAGGATTCACAGTTTGTCTGGTTTGTGTTGATAACTACCGTACTACCGTACCGTATACAGGTAATAAATTTCCTTTATTTTCATTTAACAATAAATGTGTACCGTATTCTTCTTCATGGAAAAATAAGATATCCCCTGAAAATAAGACCTAGCGCATCTTTGGGAGCAAAAATTAATATAAGACACTGTCTTATTTTCGGGGAAACAGGGTAAGAAAGTGATGATCGCCCTAGCCCCGTGGTCTGCAAACTGCGGCTCTAGAGTCACATGTGGGCTCTTTGGCCCCTTGAGTGTGGCTCTTCCACAAAATACCACGGCCTGGGCGAGTCTATTTTGAAGAAGTGGCATTAGAAGTTTAAGTTAAAAAAAAAATTTGGCTCTCAAAGGAAATTTCAATCATTGTACTGTTGATATTTGGCTTGGCTCAATGGATAGAGCGTCTGTCTGCGAACTGGAGGGTCGTGGGTTTGATTCCTGTCAAGGGTACATGCTTGGGTTGTGGGCTCAGTCCCCAGTATAGGTGTGCAGGAGGCAGCCAATCAAGGAGTCTCTCTCATCGTTGATGTTTCTCCCTCTTCCTTCCTCTCTGAAATTAATAAAAAATATATTTTTTAAAAAAGAGTGATGATCAAGCCAACAGTAGATGGCTGAAAATTTTGAATAAAGTCAGATTTTCTCTTAATCAAGGTATATTTTCAAAGCAATGCTGGGGAATGACTTTTGCATCTCATTACCTTAATAGTAGCTGCTATTTTCCTGTTTTGGCAATGAAAATGTAATCTCTAGTACTTAAAATAGTGTCTACAATAAATGCAAACGTTGGCATAATGTTGGATTGAATCCACCGGAAAGTAATTTCTTTCCAATCTCCGACGTATCCACGCGGGTTTGAAGTGAAACAAGTTGCTGCCACTCGCTCCCGTGGAAGCACATGTGGCACCTGTTTTCTTCTCATCTTCAGCCTTCAGTTTGGAGTGGCTCCGGCTTGAAAGGATCATTATGCCAGTAAAAACCTGAAGATACAAATGCTTAGACCATATTCCCTTTGCCTCATAGTTTATGTTCCTTTATCTTCACAGTTTTGAGTGAAAAGAAATTAGTATATTCACATAAAATTATCCTTTACAGCATGAAAACACAAAGAATTTCAGTTATTTTCTTCCACCTCCTTCACACCCTTCTGCCATCGTCCCCTCCCCCCCTCCACATCTCTACCAGCCCCTAGGGATGACTAGGCTTTGGACTGGGGGACTAGCAAGGGGAAGCACCGGGCATGACTTCCCAGCAAGAAGCCGGGCTTGCTGGCAGTGAGGAGACTGCAGCCAAGGGTGTGGTGGGTGAAGGAGGACACTCGGGTTGAAAATGATGGCGAATGTCCTAAAAACAAGCACAAGGGTGGTCACAGGACATTGAGAAGCATTTTAGCTGAAATGTTGTGAAACACAA